CCTCCCTGAGATCCAACCTTGGCTCAGCCCAAGAGTGATGTGCAGGCTTCCTAACACATCCCCGCGCACACGGCCCGCCTGGGACGTGACGGGACACAGCTGGGCAGGAGGGTGGTTGGAGACGGCGGTGTCCCTGGGGCAGTGCCAGTGCCGGGTTGCTCTCCTGCCTCCTCAGAGGTGGGGGCGGGGTGCCCTGGGTCTCTCTGAGAGGGAGGGGCCTGGATGGCTTCTCTACCCCTGGCGGAGCTGGCCCCCAGAGAGCCAGCGCTGGCTTTGGCAAAACAGAGCCGGGCAGCCAGCGGACAGGCCATCGGCCTCCTGCGGCAGCTCTCGCAGCCGGGGTTGCCATCCCTATCCCTTCCTGGGGGGTGGGTCAGTCCCCCAGGCACACTCACCCCGGCAGTGCTGGCTGTCAGGGTCCCACTCATAGCCATCTGTGCATTCCTACAAGGGGACCAGTGGTGGCCAGTGTTCACCCCCTGTCCCCTCCAACTGACCAGGCCAAGGCCAGGGCCCTGAGCCTAGCCACCCTCCCGGGACTGCTCCAAACAATGGCCCCAGCTGCTCCACCAACCAGGGGAGGGGAGCATCTTCCCCAGCAGGCACCCCAGGATCCTGGTCTCTGGTCCCTGCCCAGCCCAGCCCAGGCCAGTGGCCCCACGGTCCCCACCGTGTAGCTGTCAGGCTCCTCCGAATCCTGGGGAGACGCTGCCCCCAAGAGCAACAGCAGCAGCGCCCAGAGCAGTAGAGACCCGGGGAGGCAGGAGGCGAAGGGGAGCATCCTGGGACTGGGAGGTGGTGGGCAGGGGTCAGGGCGCCCCTGTCACGGCACCCCCATTCCCTGTACCAGGACTCAGAGCCCTGGCCCCAGCCGCCTCCCCCTCGGTACCGCACTTAGGACCCCGGAATCTCCCAGAGCCGAGGGCTGACTCCTCACGCGGGCCGACTCCTCAAGCAGGCCGGGGTTCGGGGCCCACTCGCCCGGGGCCGCCCCGCCCCCGCCCGGTCCCACAGCGGCGCGGGCAGAGGAGCGCAGGCCTATCTGCTCCTCGCTGACGCCGACTGGGCCGAGGCTCCGGCTCGCTCTTTTCCCCCACGGACAGCCACTCACTTGGGCCCGCGACGCCCCCGCGGCCCGCGGCTCCGGCGGCTCGGCTGGCTCCCGCAGTGCCTGCGGGCAGACGGACGGGCAGACGGCGCAGCTCCCTGGACGCGCAGCCCCAGGAAGCGCCCCCCGCCCGCCCGCCTGCAGCGGCGCGGCCCACCCCGGCGCCTCCGCCCGCCCCTCGGCGGATTCCTGAGCCCGCGCCAGGGGGAGGGACCCCGACCCCCCGCTTCTCCGCCCCTGGCCGGCCGCAGGCCCCCACCCGGTCCCCCGCGGCGCCGCCCGGAGCCGCCTCTCGGCTCTGGGCCAGGGTCCCGTAGGGCTAGATCCTGGTAGCACTGGCCCTGATACCAGGCCCCCAGACTCACTCGGGAGTCCCCAGGCCCTCACTTTGTGCACCCCTCACACTGCGCACCCAGACCCCTACCTAATCTGCGCCCCTAGAATTCCATCCTGTGCGCCCACATCTTCATGTGGAGGCCCCCAGACTCCTGCTGAGCCTCCCAGGATGCCGTCCTGGGCCCCTAGAGCTAACCTAATACTGGGGCTACCAGGTCCTCCGTTTAGACCCTAAAAAATTGTCCTCGGTGCACCCGAAAGTCACTCTGGAAATACTACAGCTTCCTTCAGGGTCCCCAGACCTCGCCCGAGGACGAGGCGCTCCCAGGCCCAGAACCGTGGGTCTCCGTTCCCTCCCCCTCCATCCCCAGGGCCGTCTTCAGCCCGGTGGTCCCTTCACTCCAGGACAGCCTCCGCGAGCCCTCGGTCCTGGAGGCTACAACAGTTTGGGGGCGGGGGCTGCAGTTCCCTTTTGGCCCAGAATGAATGGAAGCCCCTGAAAAGGCGGACAGGGCCAAACTTGAGTGTGCAGAACGCCAGGATGTTGTGCCAGAGCCTTCCCAGCCCTCCTCCTACCCTCGTTCCCTGAGCCCCCGGGTCTCCGCCTCCTCCCCCAAGCGAAGGGTGCGCCTCTGGAGGTGGAGTTTGGGCGGAGCTGGCTCCCAGGAAGGGGCGGAGCCCCTCCCTGCGCACGTCTTTGGGCGGAGCCGGACGGAAAACGGCCGCGTGTCCAGGGATCCCCGGCCTGGGGGCAGGCGGCAAATTCGCCGTTCCCTCCCTTCCCTTTCTTACCGGTGTATCCTCACTGTAGCCCCGAATGCCGCCCTGCTAGGGGAGGGGACGTACCTAGGAAGGGACATTTCGGTGGGTCCCAAGGTGAGCTCTAGATTCAGAGTGAACTGGAGAGCGTCTCCCCCACCCTAAATGCTTCCCAGCTGCTTGGGTGAGGAGGCTAAAAATAATAGCTGTTTAAACTCAAAAAGATAGACATTAACAAGGGCTGGCAGGCACGTGGAGAACATGGAACCTTCATACAATGCGGTGGGAACGTAAGATGCTGCATCGCTTCGGAAAAATCCTGGCAGGTCCTCGACATGTTGCAGGACCCAGCAATTTCAATCCTAGGGATATACCCAGGGAAACGGAAAACGTGTCCACACAAAAACAACGTAGAGAGCAACACTATTCATAGCAACATTTCTCTTCATAGCAACATTATTCGTAAGCGCTAGAATGTAGAAAGTTTCATGTCCATCGACTTATGAATGGATAAACCTGAAGATAAAAAAAGTGGTGGAATATTATTCAGCCATAAAAAGGAATAAGGGACTGATATGCACCACCACGTGGATAGATCCTGAAAACGCTGTACTGGGTGAAAGCAGCCAGACACAAAAGGCCACGTGTTCTGTTTATGTCACAGCCAGAATAAGCAAATCAGGGAGACAAACTAGGTCAGCCTCTAGCAGGGGAAAAGGTCATGGGGAGTGACTGCTGCTGGGTATGGGGTCCCTTTGGGATGGTGAGAACACTCTGAAATTAGATCGTGGCGATTTGATGATTGCACCATTATGCAGATACACTAAAAACCACTGAAGTGTCCACAAGGGTGTTTTTAGGGTGTGTGAATTACCGCATATTATCTCAATAAAGCTGTTATTTAAAATAATATGAAAATAGCCCTGGCTGGTGTGGCTCAATGGATTGAGTGCCAGACTGTGAACCAAAAGGTCACCGGTTCAATTCCCAGTCAGGGCACATGCCTGGGTTGTCAGCCAGGTCCACAGTGGAAAGCGTTCGAGAGGCAACCACAAGCTGATGTTTCTCTCCCTCTCTTTCTTCCCCTCTCTAAAAATAAATAAATAACATCTTTAAAAAAAAGACTAAAATCTCCCAGCCTCGTGGGGCTGGCATTTAAGGGGGAAAGGAGTGGGTCACAGAGGGAGGCCACCCAGCCCCACACGCCCAGTCTCTCCTCCCCCAAATTTCCACAACCCCAGCCCCACAGAGACGGATTTTATGATGCCTCCCCCCCCACCGTTGGCGCTCACAGTGAGACCTCAAGCCCTGAGGGCTGACGTACACGGGCCTTAGTCAGAGGTCACACACAGCCCAAGGCTAGCGTGGGGCATCTGACAGGGTCCAGAACCATGGAGCCCGGTGCTGCTCTGCGGACAGTCTGTTTACTGAATTTTAGCAAAAGCAGCATGGCAGTTTTTTCCAGATAGAGGAGTCCCTTGGCTTATTGTCTGGGGTGGTAGTCAGGGTGGAGCAGCAGAACGGGACAGATTCCTAATGAATGAAGAAACGAGGTCGTGAGCACACGAACAAACGAGGCCCAGGATCGGAGCCCTTCCCCGTCCCGCCCCCCCATATATGTGGACGGAACCCCTAGGAAACGAGTTTCTTCTCCCCCATCTCTGGTCTTGGGGGCCTGGTTCCCAGCCTGCAGCCTCACAAGGGAGAACTCCAACCTAAGGACCCCTTAAAACTGAGGCAGCAGTGACACGTGCACCCCTGCCCAGCCCTGGAGCTCACAGACTTGGCCTTGCTCTGTCTGAGATGCCAATCCACTCTCTTTCTGCACCCTGACCCCCACGCAGATTGTGATGGGAAGGGGATGAGGAACAAAAGGAGGCCAGAGTCGCCTCTGGCTGTCCCTTCCCCTTGCATTTGCTTGTTTAAAACCCATGATGAAAGCCCTGGCTGGTGTAGCTCAGTGGACTGAGCGCGGGCTGAGAACCAAAGTGTCGCAGGTTCGATGCCCAGTCAGGGCACATGCCTGGGTTGCAGGCCATGACCCCCAGCAACCGCACATTGATGTTTCTCTCTCTTTCTCCCTCCCTTTCCTCTCTAAAAAATATAAATAAAATCTTTAAAAAAAACAAACCATGATGACTGATTGTTTAGTCAACAACACCCATCAAGCCTGCACTGAGCTCAGCTACATCCTGGCTCAGCTACATCCTGGGAGCTGGGGACACAGGCACCGCAGACACTTCTGGCGTGTTTGGAAGGAGGATGCCAGGCAGGCGCAGACACAGCGGGGGCTCCAGGGGTTGCAGGTCACACCAGAGGCTGGGAGAGAGAGCAGGAGGGCTTCTTGGGGGTGACCCTTGCGGCGCTAAAGGAGCTTTGTAGGATGAGCAAGAGTGCTTCCCCTAGGGCACACTGACCACCCTCCCTCCACACCCTGTGAGCGGCCAGGGGCCTCCCAGAGCCCCCTGGGCTTCCCCGTTGCAGTGCTGATGGCTTTGTGTCACTGCCTCTTAGACCCTGTTTCCTTAAGGGCAGATCCATCTCTGGATCCCGAGTTGCCCAGAACAGGGTGGGCAGAAAGCCTTTGTTGAGTAAAGAAAAATGGGTGGGAGGGGGTGTAGGCAGGCAGAGGGCTACGTAGGGACAAGTAGGGACAAAAGCTTTAGTGCCTTTCTTAATTCAAAAGCTTTAAAGCTTTTTGCTTGAGGGGTGTGCCCTCCCCTCCCAGCCTGGTTTCTCCTCAGTGGTTTCTCCAGCCACGCCCCCTCATCCCCTCCAATTTGGTGTGCACAGCTTCCTGCCTACTCTACCACTCTGGTCCGCAGCAACATGGCATTGACCGTCTGTCTCTCCTGCGTCCTGGCCCTGTTGGTGGCAGCCCCGGCCCAAGGCATCAGAGGCCAGGTAAGTGCCCACAGTCCGTTTCCCGTGCCCTTCCCTCTGCAAGCCCCACGCCTGGGGCTCACCCCTCCAGAATCCACTGTGTGCCCATTTCTCAGAGGGAGCAACTGAGGCTGGAGAGGCGACTGATATGCCCAAGCTCGCACAGGGAGACAAAACAGGCTAACTGGCTGATCTCCTCGCCCAGTCCTGGCTGGAAGCCACGGTGTGGTCCCAGCAATGATTCCTTTGTTCAACCCCCTCACCCTCCACCCTTGCTTCCTTCTAGGAGCCAGGTCCCCGGCCACTGGAACTGAAAGAGGCCTTCACTTTGTTCCAGATCCAGTACAACCGGACTTACTCCAGCCCAGCAGGTATCATGGCGCCCGTACACCTGCAGTCCAAACCCACTTCTGTTTAGCTGATGAGGAAATCAGGGCTCGGGATGAGGAATGGGCTCTGCCAGAGCTCTCAGTGGGACGGTGGCAGGGCTTGGGGTGTGCTCCCCGTTTCCCGAATGCGAAGGGGGATGGGGTCATTCTTGGCTACGAACAGGGAGGGAGCTGGCCGCTGCTGGGGGTCTGCCCCGTCCTAGAGGGTCCTTCGCCTGCACAGCCACGGTCCTCACTGCTGGCAGTGGACAGGAGACCATCTAGTCACGAGTTCATGTAGGGGACACCTAAGGATGCACCTTTTGTCCCTGAGCTGGGCACCCCTTCTCCACCCCGTTGCCAACCCTGTTCCTGCCCTCTCTCTGGGTCTCATCCACAGAGCGATAACCTGTGGGTGTCTTTCATCCCATGTGATGGACCTGTACCCCACCCTCCCCCACCCCTGCCACCCTGCCGGGTCCCAGCCCCAGGCCTGTGGTCAGAGGTGTGAAGGGGGCGACCTGACAACAGGAAGCCTGTCTGTGGTCTCCGACCACCTACTTTCTTTTCTGAGTCACTTGGTCCTCACACCTTTTACTTGGCTTCCCCCCAAACATGGGCAGAGATGTCCTTCCTGCGTCCTGGGGAAACCCAACCCTGGGTGGGCTGGGGAGCTGTTCCTCTGCCCAGATACCTGCAGCAGAGCCTGCAGGGGCCACAGGAACCAGCCCTCCTCTGGGTGAGTGTGGGAGGGAGGACGCCCAGCTCGTGACCACTTCCTGCCCCTGGGGGGCTTGGGAGGCGGCCTAGAAAGACCTTGCTTTGGTCCAGAGTACGCTCGCCGCCTGGATATCTTTGCCCGCAACCTGGACCGGGCTCAGCGGCAACAGGAGGAGGACTTGGGCACGGCGCAGTTTGGGGTGACTCCGTTCAGTGACCTCACAGGTACTGGGACACCTTCTGGCCCCTAGGTAGTGGGTGGGGAAGCAGAGCCTTGTCCAGGGGGACTGGCAGATGGACAGGACAGACTGTTGGAATTCATTTCCCAGAGAGGGACCCCGAAGACCATAGGCCTAGGTGCTTGACCCAAACTGCCGAGAGCAGGGACAGGTACCCCGGAGGCCCATGTCCCAGCTCAGTTCGAGGCTGAGGTAGCAAGTGCAAGGGAATGCATCCCAGCAAGGAACTTGGTCTCTCTCTACACCTCGGCATCCCTGCCTTTGTCCCCCAGGGCGTTACGGGGACGCAAGTGGCAGAGGATGTGGATGGCTGGAGTGGGAGAAGCAGAATACGGGGGAAGGGGGAAGGGGTCAATGAGGTAATCTTGGTGGTTCCGTCTGTCCCTCAGAGGAGGAGTTTGACCGGCTGTATGGGAATCAGAAGGCAGCTGGAAGGGCGCCCTATATGGACAGAAAGGTAGGGTCTGGTGAGAAGGGCGAGTCAGTGCCCTCCACCTGTGACTGGCGGAAGAAACCCGGCATCATCACACCTGTGAGAAACCAGGTAACATGCCCCATCCAGCCTCAGTGGTGGGAGGGAGAGGAGAGGGGCAAGGCCCAGCCCCCTTACCCAGCCCCCACCTTCTCCCCACCAGGGAGAGTATTGTAGGTGCTGCTGGGCCATGGCGGCAGTGGGCAACATCGAGGCCCTGTGGGCCATTAAATGGCAGCATTCTGTGGAACTCTCCGTGCAGGGTATGGCTGGGAAAGGGGCATGTGTGCCGGTGGGGGGTGGGGCCTGGGCTCGGGCGCCCACAGGCCCCGTTCCCCCCAGAGCTCCTCGACTGTGACCGCTGCGCGAGCGGCTGTACCGGCGGCTTCGTCTGGGACGCGTTCATGACTGTCCTGAACAACAGTGAGTGCCGGCCTCTCTGGGGGCTGCGTGCGGGGGGTGCTCCGGGGCGGCATCTCCTCCCGGCCTCCTTCACTTCCAGGTGGCCTGGCCAGCGAGGAGGACTACCCGTACCGGGGGGAGACCACAGTCCACAGGTGCCAGGCCAAGAAGTACAAAAAGGTGGCCTGGATCCAGGATTTCTTCATGCTGCCGGAAAACGAGCAAAGTACGGGCAGGGTAGAGACCCAGGCGGGCGCGGGCAGGGGGTGACGGGGACGGACGGACCAGGACAGAGGCAGCCAGACTGGGCTATGGACGGGGACGGAGGACAGAGGGGGTGGTGGGGGTGGGAGATGGAGACAACCACGAGCCAGGAGCAGGGAAGGTGGGGCGAGCACGGCCTGACGGTGCTTGTGCCCCAGGTATTGCCCGGCACCTGGCCACGGAGGGCCCCATCACTGTCACCATCAACAAGGAGCTCCTGCAGGTGGGAAACGGCCGGGACAGGGGGAGGGCCATACGGGGGTACGGCCCCAGACTCAGCCCCTCTGCCCCTGCAGCGTTACCAAAACAATGTGATCCAGCCTGCACCCGGCACCTGTGACCCTCGGACAGTGGACCACGTCGTCCTGCTGGTGGGTTTCGGCAAGACCAAGTCGGTGGAGAGCAGGCAGGCAGAGGCAGACCTGTCCCAGTCTAAACCTCGGCCTCGTCGCTCCATTCCCTACTGGATCCTGAAGAACTCCTGGGGGGCCAACTGGGGTGAGGAGGTGAGTGGGGTCAACGGGGAGGGGAAGGACAGACCTCTCCCACCTTCTGGCCCTAATGTCATCCGACTTCCTAGGGTTATTTCCGGCTGCACCGAGGGAGCAATGCCTGTGGCATCACCAAGTACCCGTTGTCTGCCCGAGTGGACGTACCGGCCAAGAAGCAGCACAAAGTCTCCTGCCCTCCCTGAGCCCGCCTCTCAGCTCTCCCCGGCCGTGCCAGCTGCCTCCTCGCTGGCCACGCCGCAAGTCTTCCCCTGTCCTCCCAGTCTTCTTGCTATGGGCCGAATAAACCAACGGAAGAGCATGGATTCCAAGTGGACTCAGTTGGGTGGGGAAGAGAACAGATTGAGCAGAGACACCACTCCCGGACAGGTCCCGGCCCCTGCGGGGCCAACACACGCGCAGATCCCTACACACCGTAACGCTCAGATGCACACACGTGCGTACCCCCCACCCACGGCCCCCGATGTGGACCTCTGCACAGGCTCCTCCAAAGTCATGGCAACTTTATTGGCAGTGTGGGCGGGGCAGTGGGAGGGGGCCTCAGTCATGGTAGAGGCGCAGGAGGCAGCCCTGGAGGGTGCCCATGTAGCGGTCCCAGAGGGCCTGGTGCCTGCAACGACAACAGCGACGGCCGAGGTTGACCGCAAGCCCCCGCGCCAGGACGCTGCTCTGAGCGATCTGTGTACCTTCCCTCTTAGTCCTCACCGTGTTCTCGTGACCCTTCCCGTTACCATCCCCCGTTTAGACATGAGGAAAATGAGGCACGGACGGAGAAGGAACCTGCCCGAGGTCGTGTCACAGCTTCCAGGAGGTGGAGCCAGGACTCTGGTCTGCAGAGCCTCCCACCCCCGGGGTGGCGAAACAGGGAACCCTGAGTCTGCAGGAGGGCCAGGCTGGCTAGGGGGGTCTCTCACCGGAAGCCCTCCAGAGAGTGGGCTGACGCTGAATACTGATTCAAGAAGAGCCGCACGTCATTCAGTGGCCAGTGGTCAGATCGGCAGGGCTCCACGAACTGTGGGTCCGAGGGAACACCTAGTACTGGTCCAGCTCAGAGACAGGCCGGGTCGGGCAGGAGTGGGCGGCGGGCAGGGGAGCTCACCTTCTCCACGAGGTCCACAAACAGGTCTCTGACGTCCTTATTGTGGATCAGCTTGGCGGCCACATTCACCAGCCCCCGGGACAGGTTCTGCGGGGCAGGGAGCCTGGGAGTTCTGCCTTCTGCCTCTCCAAATCTATCCACCTCCCACAATCAAATAACTCCCCAATGTTTAGGAGCCGGCTCCCTCCATTACAGGTGGGCAGAGGGAGCAGCTGCGCCACCTGCTGGTCAATCTGGGGCATGAGCAGAGTTGCCTGGTGGGACAGGGAACTGGAGGCGGAAGATGCCCAAGGGACATGAGCTGGCTTGGACCACAGACCTTGAAGTTGGCTTCCATCTCGGAGAAGACACTGAGCTTTCCCCGGAGGGCGGTGCACACCAGGCTGCAAGGAGACAGGGTCAAACCCAGAGCTGCCTGGGCCTCCACTTCAGGCCCCACTCCATGGAGCCCCCTCCTCAAAGTCACCTCTTGTGCAGGTCCAGAAGGTCCTTGTCAGCCACCAGCACCTTGAGCTCCTTCAGGTCCTGAAGAAACTCCTTGTCTAAGTCCACGTCCATGTCATCCACCTGGGAGTCTGAGCAAGGCCCATGGAGGGAGTTGGGGGGGAGGGGGACAAAATACCCTCCTGTGACACCCAAGCTTTGCTCACCCACCACACGGTGCCCCCACAAGACAAAAGAGAAATCAGAGTGTCAGAGAGGCGGAACGCCTTGCCAGGCCACGGAGAGGTAGTGGGCTCTTTGCAGACCAGGGAGTGTGGGGATACTGGACCCTGAGCAGAGGCGGCTGGGGAGGGGCCCTGGAGGACAAAGAATGCCGGGAACTGGGGGCCTGAGGGAGAAAGCGCCGGTGGGGTAGCAGGCCCTGAGAGGGCGGGGGGGTGTCCGGGCACCTGGGTCAGTGGGGGCCTCACCGACGGCTCCGAGGGTCCAGTTCTGGATCATGAGCTCTGCACAGAAGGCAAAGTCGCCGAAGCTCAGGTACTGCAGCTTCTTCTTCCCTGTCTCGAAGCGGTTGTTGGCAAAAAAGACGATGGCTGCATAGTCCCTGCAGGGATGGGGGAGCAGATCTGTCAGGGCTGGAAGTCCCTTCTTGGTGAGCGGCTCCCACCTGCAGCATCTGCTGGGCATCTGAGTTCCCGCCTCTCCCCGCCCTCACTCACTGCAGTGACATGTTTCAAGTCACCTTTCTTTGGGCCTCCTCATCCATGAAAAGAGGTTTCAACCCAGGTCCCCAAAGGGATATAGCAGAAGACCACAATGGTAACTGTTACCACTTCCTGAGCCCTGGGGGCTGTGCCACGTGCTTTTATGTGGCACCTCACAACAGCCCAGTTGGTCAATGGCGGGGCTAGCATTTGAACCCAGGGCAATCTGATCCACATGCAGACCAGGAGTGAGATAACCATTCCCCCAACATAGCCAGGAGGTCAGGTGGGTGGGGGTGGGGAAGATGGACCAGCCTTGGGGTCCAGGGGAGTGTGCAGAATGGGGGTCCTCGCCTGGCACCTCACCTGGCCAACCGATCAGAAAGGAGGAAGTGTTGCTGGATGTTATCCACCAAGGAGCCCCGCATTTCCTCCACCACCTTGAAGACTCGTTTAAAGTTGTCAAACTGCAGGCAGTTAGGGGAGCAAGGGCTAGTCAGAGGTCACTCACCCAATAAACTGTTTATTGAACACCACCCCTCACCTATCTCCCCATGTGGCTACAGCATCTGTTACTCCTTCAGAAAGTTATCAATTCAACAAACATCCACCAGCATTTGCCGCCTTGCCTCAGATAAACGTTTACTCATGTCTACATTAGCATGGCGTTCCCCAGTTCTTCACAAGCTTGTGCTGGAACGGACCCTGGTGGCTAAGGCCCAGAAAGGAAAAAAAAAAAGAGCAAGTGCTAAGCTGTATGCAGGGAGCTCACAGGAGACACAGAGTAAAGACGTGAAATTCCAGAAGGGTTACTTCTTACCGGCACCACCAGAAAGTCTTGTGAAGGTGACATCTGACCCTGACTTGGATTTCAAGGAGTAGACACGGCCAAGAACAGAGCCCTCCAGGATGGGGCATCATGAGCAAAACAAAGCTGGATGCTGGGGAAATGTAAACCTGGAGAGGCTGGCAGGACCAAATCTAAGGAGAGTATGAAGGGCGAGGCCGAAGAGTGTGGCTTATCCAGGAGGGAGTGGGAGCCACTGCAAGTTTATGGACAGACAGGAGGAAGCTATGGTCAGACCCAGAGTTCTGTGAGGTCACCCTGGTTGCAGAGCAGAGGATGGCCTGGAAGGGGCACGCCAGGGAGAGGAGGCCGGGTAGGAAGCAGCTGCCACAACAGAGGTGGGCAGCGGCCAAAGGGGTGGACTATAGATGGAATGCTGTGTGGGTGAGGGGGCTGCAGTGCCCACCTGTCTTCGGCAGCTCTTAAGGGTAATGCCTGTTTTGGTGCTGATGTCATCCAGATCTTTCTTGGTGCCCTTGGACAGCTTCTTGCCCAGGACCTCTCGCACAAAGGCCTCATCAAAGGCATAGTACCTGCGTGGAGGCAGAGGACACTACTGACTTTCCACAAAGGAGGGGAAAGGGGGCCTGGGTTTGGCCCCTTGTGCTCTCAACTTTCTCACGGCCTGGGGAAGGCCTGTCCCTCCCTGGACCTCAGTTTCAGCCTGCAAAATGGGTATATGGTCAGAGTGGTCGGCATCCCACCTCTCGATGAGCAGCGCCTGTCGGGAGGGTGGGATCTGGAAGATGAGCTGGTGCAGCAGCTTGGGCGGTGCGTGTAACAGGCGCTCGAGCATGTGGAAAGTTCGATAGTGGTCCATGGTGTCACTCTGTAGCACCGCTGCGGTGGCGCCCGTCTGCTCCAGGATCCCCGAGCGCACCCTCAGGGCCACAGCGTCGCTCACTGGGGAGTAGGCGCTAGCATCAGGCTTTACCCCACCGACCTCAAAGCCCCTCCAGGTATTCCAGCCCCTATCTCCATACATCCCTCATTCCTTCTGCCCGCTTCCCTATAAGATGTCCAGGCTCCGCTCCTTCACCCATCCAAAACAACCGCTCGGCCTGATGGCCTCCCCCAGAAAGTCCCCCCACAGACCCGAGTAACCATCCAGCCAGAGGCGATACACGTCCTCATCAATGAGGGTCGTGTTCCCTACGAAGATGTCCAGCTCGTTGGTCATGGTTACGCCCGGCCGGGAGCAGCCGCAGCGCCCCAACCCGAGCAAGAGCAGCCCGGGCCGGGCGCGCAGCCGCCGGGCCACTTCCGGGAGCGCTGAGATTCCGTACCGGGCACCCGGAGCCACAGAAGGACCACTTCCGGGACAGAGAGGGTGGGGCAGGCGCTGCGAGGGAAGAGGTAAAAGCGGTGGAGTAGCTCCCCCTTTCTGCAGGAAGGGGAATCCCAGGCTCCTCAGTCCCCACACGTACGCGGTCCGTACCCCGGCCTGGTCAGTCTCCCCCTTTTTGGAATCCTTCCCGGTCACTTCCTCTTGTTCCCCCCACCCCACTTTCTCTTTTCCGGGCCCCTCTGTTTTGACCAGTATCCTAAATTTAGGAGTTTCACAGGGCTCAGTCCTAAATCTTTTCTGTGCAGTAAAGACGTGTAACCGACTTCCAAAGGCCTTTGCTGGAAGCCCCTCAGTCCATCCTGCGGATGAACATCTCTCCTGCGCTGGGACACTTGCTCTTATGCTTTTAGCACCCACCATCCTCCCCGCCCCACCACTAACTAATGACCTCTCTTATTCTGCAGCTTAGAACTCTGCCTGGAAGCCCACATCAGGAGGGCAGCCTATCTGTGCGTGTTTCTTTCCACGCTGCCTCCCCACAAGCCCCCCAAAGCGAAATAGACAGACCTGTCGGTCTCCCCACTCTATTTCTTCCCTGCGTTCCTATCTCAGTGACAGCCCCAACACCCACCAAGGTCTCCTAGCAGAAACCTGGGCTTTCTCTCGGACTCCTCCTCTCTCTCCACATTCAGTTCTGCTGATTTGCCTCCTGGATATTTCTAGTATCTCTTGTCCTCCCCACCCCCACTGACACTGCCCCGGCGCCGTCCTTCTGCAGAGCTCTACTGCCCAAGGGACACAGTGTTCTTACTAATCTCCCTGCCTGCACTCCCCCTCATTGTCCACCCCACACAGAGCAGCCTGAACAATTGTTTTTAAAACACATATTTTAAAATGTTACACCCTTGATTAAAATCCTTCCTGGCCTGTGAAAATGCGCCTAGTATTGAAAGCCCTTAAGTATCTGGCTTCCCACTGCCTTTGTTTCCTCACTCTCTTACCACTTTCTCCCTCTCTTACCACTTTCAAGAAGAAATCAGCGTCGTTCACCATGCTACTCCCGCTCCCTGAACTCATTGCTTGACAAAGCCCTATGTATTGTCAGGGAGCTTCAGACATCTAAGGAAAACTTTTTCGCGGGGAGAGCTCCCTCAGACCCTGTCTGTCCCTCTTCCATTTGCTTCTTGTTTAACTCACCTTGTCTTCCCTGACTACATTAAGACTTGAGGACGGGATGAGAATCTTAACCAAGTTTATTTCTGCATGGATCTTACACACAACAAAGCTTTATTGAACAAACGAATCCCTTGAATGCGCCCCCCCCCGGCCCCGGGCAGAAAACACCCCGTGAAAGAGAGGGCAGGCTGATGGTGAGCCAGGACTTTTGGCGTTGGCAGCGATGCTCAGTGAGCCCAGTCTTTCTCGAGATCGAGCTAAACTAGGAAGGGTATTAAGGTGATAGGTCTGAGTTCTGTCTGGGGTGGAGGGGCGGTGAGCGGGAGAGTTCCCGGGCAGACACCTGAGTCTTGGTTTTGAGAAGGAGCCGAACTAGGCTTGAACTTGAGAATTGGGAGGTACGAGGCTCCTGGTTTCGGGGTGACAGGCGCTGGTGCAGGGACCCACAAACCCGAAGATCAGGGACACTGCCGTAGGGAGTGGGCGGGGAATCGGCTCCGTCTACGCTAAGGCTCCGCCCCTTTCCGTGGGGGCTTCCTCGGATTGGCCGCCCTTCCTCAACGTCATGTGGCCCCGCCCCGGCGCGCGCCCCGCCGCGTGCCCACCCCTGAGCTGCTGCTGCAGCCTACGCTAGCCGGCCAGAGCCTGCCGCGGGCGGAGCCGGGTCCTGAGCCGTGCGGGGCTCGACGTGGGGCACCTGGACCGCGGCAGCGGGCAGGCGATGCTCCAGAGACCTGAGCAGTCATGGAGGCCGAGGCAGGAGGCCTGGAGGAGCTGACGGATGAGGAGATGGCGGCGCTGGGCAAGGAGGAGCTGGTGCGGCGCCTGCGGCGGGAGGAGGCGGCGCGCCTGGCGGCTCTGGTGCAGCGCGGCCGCCTCATGCAGGAGGTGAATCGACAGCTGCAGGGTCACCTAGGCGAAATCCGCGAGCTCAAGCAGCTTAACCGGCGCCTGCAGGCCGAGAATCGGGAGCTGCGCGACCTCTGCTGCTTCCTGGACTCGGAGCGCCAGCGCGGGCGGCGCGCTGCGCGCCAGTGGCAGCTCTTCGGGACCCAGGCATCCCGGGCTGTGCGTGAGGACCTGGGCGGTTGTTGGCAGAAGCTGGCCGAGCTGGAGGGCCGCCAGGAAGAGCTGCTACGGGAGAACCTAGCGCTTAAAGAGCTCTGCCTGGCGCTGGGTGAGGAGTGGGGCCCCCGCAGCAGTCCTGGTGGCGTGGGGGGCTCAGGCACTGGGCCGACCCCGGAGCTCACCTTGCCCCCCTGCGGGCCCCGCGACCTGGGCGATGGAAGCTCCAGCACCGGCAGCGTGGGTAGTCCTGATCAGTTACCCCTGGCTTGTTCCCCAGATGACTGAGGGCGCAGCTTCCTTCGCGCCGACGCCCGCCCGGATGTCCCCCCAAGCGCCGCGGTTGCGGTGTACCTCGGGACCTGGAAGCTGCCCGGCTGCGCACGAGGGGCCGCTGGCATGGACTTAGACACCCTGGCAATGAGGAGGGCCCCTTGCTTTCGCTGGCGGGGCAAGAGGGGACTGGAAGCTGGAGCAGAGGGACTGGCAAGGGGCTGGGTGGCGGCTAATAAATTGGGACGGAAGCAGACCCATGGGCAGCGTCTGTTTGGCACTCGCCGGGGTTAGGACAAGGGCGGGGACATTGAGACGGGATATCATGCCTCTACGGAGGGGCTACACAACTAAGGTGTCTGATCCTTCCCCATTACCTCGAGCCTGGGGAGGGATATGGGACCGTGGAAAGCCGCTGGCTACAACCCCCACCCCCGCCCTGCCAGCAGGCACCGGTACAGGCTGTGATCCGGCCCCTGAAGTGGCTCCAGCTCCCTTCCCTGCTCCTTCCTGTCCAAGACAATGGGGCAGGAAGCAGGTGTTGGGGGCCTAGAAGCCACTCAGCTGCCTCCTCTTAGGCTGGAAGGGGCCTAACAATGATAACAGCGCCCTCCTGTGGTACATGCAGGAGTAAGGTGGGGTCCCACCAGGAGGATAATCCTCTTGGCTGGCATCCCACAGCATTCTTCCTCTCAGTCCTGGTGATGAGGCGGAGCAGATGTAGCTTCGTTTGTCAGATAAGTCAGTGGAGGTCCAGGAATATCAAGTAATTTGTCTAAGGTCATGCAGTGAGTCCGTGGAGCTGAGTCTTGAACCCAGCACTTCTGGATCCAAATGTTCTCCCTTTAGCCTCTGGAGCCAATGTAATGAGACTGGAGCTTCAAGCCTTTTATTTCATTTTGGCAGATTTGTATAAAAATACTCTCTTTAGGAAAATAAATAGCAGCTGCCTTTGCGGTGGAGGCTTAGTTACCCTGGAGCTAAAGTCTTCTCAGAGCCTGGGCTGCAGCTCAGCTCATCACAGAAGTCTCTGGCACCTTCTCCAGCTGTGCCATTTCTGGAGGGGCCGACAGAATGCCCTAGTTCAGTCACCTGGTGCTGCTGGCAGTGGGGCTGGGTGAGTTAGTGTTCTAGGCTGGTATATCACCTGTCAAGGGGTAGGGTTGGGTGGGTCACAGGAAGAAGGTGATAAAGACTTAGGGGAGGTCTGGAGGGGGTTAGGGCTCCAGAAAACCTGTAGGGATCTACAGAGTCATCCGGGGCTGCCTCGAGTTTTCTTGCACAAATGGGAAATATTTTGTCTCTGATTTAAAGGAAATTGTGCTAGAGACGCCTGCTCTAGAGAGGCACCTCTAGAGCAGGCAGCTTTGGTGGCCCCCAGCTGGCTCCACCAGGAAGCAAAATAGGCTCAGTCTCATCTGGTAAGATGGAGAAGAACCCGCAGGGGTTGAGCATGGAATATGGCCCAGGCCAGCTGGACCAGTGGGTGTGGGTATATTGGCTAGGTGGCACCCGCAGGGAGAGGGACCAGTAAGCCTCATAATGCCAAGAGGGTAGGGGAGCCGAGGGGGTCAGAGGATGGGTCCCCACTGCTGCTGCTGCTCCTGCGATGGGCTGAGGCACAGGGTTCAGGGGTGCTGGGGTAGGTGAAGACCAGACTGGGGGTGAAAGGAGTCAGAGAGGGTGTGGTCACGAGCGTAGGAGTGTGCAATGCTTCGGGTTCAAGCACAGGCCCCGGGGAAAGGGAGATACAAGGAACAGGGGCTGGTGCGCTGCTGATACTGCCTGTGCCGCCAGTGTCACTCTCCTTGGCTCCTGGGATTTTGCAGATGGGGCGGTGGGCTTCGAGCACCAGCTCCAGCCGCTCCTTCTGCTTCTGTAGCTCCTCAATCTCTCGCTGCAGCCCTGATTTCTCGTCCTCCAGCTTGTCGGTCTCCTGTAGGGAGAAGGTCAGGAGTCAAGAAGCTGAGGTTGGAATACCGCGTAGCCTTCCAGATGGTGGTGGTGGTGATTGGGCGGTTGGAAGTAGGGTGAGCGGGGGAGTCTCCAGCAAGTCTGGACTACAATTCCCATGAGGCCCTGGGAGAGTGCAGGACTCCAATCAAGACCCGGAGCGTTTTAGGAGATTGTCGGCTTCAGCTCTGGTCGGCTGTTGGTCCAAGTACTTTTTCCTCGTCCTTCTTCCTAAGGACTGCCCCACCAGTGTCCCCTGGGGCCCCACAGGCACCCTCCGCACCGACCAGTGCTCACCGCTTGCAGGAAGTCGGTCAGTTCCTTCCTCCGGTTCCTGCACTTGGCCGCGGCCAGTTTGTTCCGCTCGCGCCTCACTCGACGGCGCTCCTCCTCCTCCGGGCTGATCTGGGGGACAGAGGGACCAGTGAGGACCAGTGTCCTGGGCCACTGGCTGCTGGGCACTCCCCTAGTGCGCTTGCCCAGTGGTAGGACCCTGGTGGAAGGCATGGCAGGACCGGGGCACCGTCTTCCTGCACTTCCAGGACCACCGCGCACCGACGCGTCCCCAGAACTCACTTCAGCAAACTTGCACTAGTCAGATTTCTTCCTCGCACCCGGCTTTTGCCCACTACGATTCTCCTCTCGGGAGGCACAAACCCGAACCCTCTTCATCTCCCAGGACTCAACAAAGATGCCTCCGCCTGCAGGAAGCCCTCTCTCATTCCCCTGACAGAAGTACCGGTAGCTTTTACTCCTTGGAGCCTTTGGGAGGCGGCCACTCCTTTTCGAGGGACCCCTATTTTTAATCTCTTTATAACCAAGTCTCCTTTTCTCCAGGGATTGTAAGCACTAGGAGGAGCTGAGTGCTGCTAAATTGTTATTTACTGGAAATCTGTGTGCCAGCATAGTGCTTTTCTTAGATTCTTTTTCTAAACTTTATTCTTTTAGAAGAGAGAGAGAGAAACATCGATATGTGAGAGAAACATCAATCAGTTGCCCCTCACCAGTCCCCAACCAGGGACCTGGCCTGTGACCCAGGCATGTGCCCTGACCAAAACGGCAACCTTTGTGTTTGCAGAGCAACACTCAGCCAGGTGAGGCGCACAGGCCAGGGTGCTTTCTTAGATTCTTAACGCTACTTTCCATGTACGGAACTGAAGCCCAGGGGAGATGAATAACTTGATTTGGTCCTAGAGCAGAAGTTAAAATCCTCTCACTCTATTCAACATTGACTGACAGGCCAGCTGATGGAGACCATCTTCCCCACAAAGGACCCCACTCGCAGCTCACAGCCCCAGTCTGAGAGGACCCAGGGCCAAAGCGCCCTCAGGACAGGGCTCAGGGAGAAAGGCCAGAGCCTGGCCCAGGGGCTCACCCCATAGTCCTCTTCCGGGTGGTCCCGAAGGCCAGCCAGGAAAGCCTCCCCGGCACACCTTTCCCAGCCAGTAACTCATCTTTCCCAGGATCCCAGCCTCCCTCCCCATCCTCTACCCAGCTGTTAGAGCAAGCTGTTTAATGTGCAAACCTCACCCACTACCATCTCATATATTCACATGCTCCAGGGTTGCCCTTACTGGTGTAGCTCAGTGGATTGAGTAGCTAAAGGTTGGGGTTCAATTCCCCGTCAGGGCACATGCCTGAATTGCGGGCCAATGGATATATTACACATCAATTGTAATATATCCACATCAATGTTTCTCCCTCTCTCTTTCTCCCTTCCTTCCCCTCTCTCTAAAAATAAAAGATAACATTAAAAAAAAAATGCTCCGGGGAGAGGAAAGAGGTGCCACTCCCTTAAAGACTATCTCATTTATTTTGGAAAGGACATTATTAGCAGCGTGTGGGTAGGAACCCCGGTTGGGGAGGCAAAAGTTCCCAGCTCTCTCCTTCAAGCCTTCCCTTTGCTCTGAGTGAGACAGTGTGGCTTGCTGGTTAGAGTCTAACTTTAGAATTGGGCAGACCTGTCTCATTACTCAACACTTGTGTGATCTTGGGCAAGTGACTTTACCTCTCTGGGCCTTCATTTCCTTGGCTGTAATATGGGGAAAACCAGAGTACATTCCCCGGAGGGTGTTTGTGAGGTTTTCAGTGAGACAGGGAAACTGAGACTCAGAGAACAGCTAAAGGCAACCTTCCTTCTGTTCTTTCCCAGCTGCACGGACGGAGCGTAAGCTCACCCTCCTGTTCATGTCCGCAGGTGGGTACCCTCTACTGTCCATGCGCCTTTCCACATGCACCGTACATGTTCTCACTTCCACTGATGTTCTTTTTTTTTAAAAATATATTGATTTTAGAGAGAGAAAGAAAGAAAGGAGAGAAACATTGATTTGTTGTTCCACTTATTTATGCATTCTTTGGTTGCTTCTTGTATGCACCCTGACTGGGGATTGAACCTGCAACCTTGGCATATTGCGTAGATGCTCTGACCAATTGAGCTACCCGGCCAGGGCTCCACCTCCATTCTTGCTCGTGCCATCCCCTCTGCCTGGAATGTCCTTTCCTTCAACTCTATCTATGCAAATCCTACCCCTCTTCCTAGGCTTATATGCCTCCACCTCCAGGAAGCAGTCCCTCATCCAGAAGGGACCTCTTTGTCCTCTGGGTCTTCCTAGAGGCTCCTCTCACTTTCCACCTTGGCCAATAGTCGCTAGCAGTGCTACCTTCTCCCTCCTTCTAAGCCTGCGTTCTCCTTCGGGGCAAGAGCTGCCACACCCCCGTGGGCATCAGAACCATGCAAGGCCTCTGCTCCTTACCTGTTCACAGGGCCGGCGACGCACGCCTGGAGGTGGCCCCAGGGCCCGGATGACTCCTGCCCGGGGCTGTGGGTGGCTGTACTGGGGATAGGCCAGAGGTCTTGGGTAGCTACCAGGTCCCAGGAAGTGAGGCTGAACCATCCACTGTGGTTCCTGGCTGCTACTCAGCGCGCTGATGCTTGGGACGAGGTGAAATTTCTGAGGGATAAGACATGGAAGATCAGGAGTGTAGTCTGTGTTAATTGAGGGGCTTCCAGTGAACAGAAGCCACACTGCTGTCCACCCTCGAGACAGACACCGAGACACCAGAAAGAGCAAGAGCACAGCTTGGCAGTTAGAGAGACTGAATGACAGCCCCCTGTTCCTGAGCTGTGTGGCTTTAGGCAGGTCACATAACCTCTCTGGACCTCCATTTCCTCATCAGAGCTAATACTTTTAAAATACGAATTCCAGGCACTGTCCCAACCACTTCACAAATATTGACTCATATAATTTGCACAACAGTATCTTCATTTTCAGACAGGAAAACAGTTGTCCTCAGACACACAGCCAGTAAGTGGGAAGCGGGGCTTGGTCCCCGGCTGCTCAGCTCTTTGCCACTCCCGAGAGAACGTACGTGACAAGCCTGGTCAGGGCTGTGGAGGACAAGAGCCATGGCTCTGGGTTCAGGCTGTTTCAGTTCTGATCTTGGCTCGGGCTACTTACTGGCCAGGGCTTTGGGCACACTATTTGACCTCAATGTGCTTCAGTTTCCTCGTTTTTATTATTGTCATAGGCGAGGATTATGGCATTTCATCAATGCTAAGAAGTGCCCTTTTTAACCTTTAGTAGCCAATCAATTTAATTGGCTTTTTTTTTTTTTTTTTTTGGCCCCTGAGCGAGTGCGCGTTTCCCAGAGGTACTGAATCGCTGGGTCAATGAGCGGTGGCGTGGGCAGAGCAAGTCCCTATTCCATCTCCTGCTCCAAAAATCCATTTAATATGTGGTCCTCAGAGGATGTATCAGATGTGAAGCTGAAAAGAACAGATCTCTACACTTGATCTTGGCCAAAAGGCCAAGAAGCAATGATAATTGGCAACTTGAAACAATTTAGTGGCACAAAATAATGGTGGGTTTTCAAATCAATGGGGTCTGAGATTCTGTGAAATACGGTAGATAAGGAGAAACCTGCCCAGCAGGATGCCTGGTTGTACAGTTAGAGCTCCAGGTATTACCTGCCACTATCCTCTTTCAGCCAGAAATGAGAGGGATGGATTGAGATGGGGGTTCAGTGTTGGGAGACAACTGGGTTCTAGCCCTGGGGCTGGGCTCTGGGTGTGTGCGCCCAGTCCTCCGGGAAAAGGCGGTTCAAGCCCAGGCAAGTCCGTGCAGCGGTGTCCCTGGCCCGGCACTGGGGGCCCAGTGGCCCAGTGACCCCAGTTCCGGGCTCGAGGCACCGCCGGCGGTATCTCCTGCTCCCGAGGTTGTCCAGGCCCGGGCCGCTCCGGGCCAGGAAGGGAGGGGCACCCCGGGTGAGTCAGCCGCCGTGACTCGGCCTCCGTGACTCGGCGGAACGGACGCCGCTCCTTCCCTCCCCTAGCGACACGTGCTCGTGGCCCCTCGACAGGAAATGGGCACCTGCAACCTCCGGGGTCCCCCCAACCGCCAGTGGGCGCCAAGAGTCGGGGGAGCGGGAGTTGCCCGCCGCATGAACCCCGCACGTTCCCACACCTTCCGTTTTGATTGGCCCCAACCTGTAAAGGAAGGGGTCAAGATCCAGTCTCTGGAGCCCACCAGATTCCACGGCGCGGAGAAGGGGGTAGGGACTTGGCGACGGGGTAGGGAAGGACAGGCAAATGGACAGATACACAGACGACCACAGGCAGTGCCGAGGACTCCCGGTCTGGGGGGGCTAGCCTGTGGACGGATCTAGCCTCCTTCCTGTGTGGGACGCCTGGGTCGCAGTTCAGATCCCGAATCCCACCCCGGGAATTGAGTCCGAGATGAATCAGACCCTGTGATCCTGTCAGCGCTAGGGCTAACGCAGGTGCCGGGACCCCACTCTAACGCAGACGGACAAAGAAATTAGCGCTGGACAGGAGGAACTAAAGAAGTTAAGGACAAGAAGAAAGAAAGACGGAGGGACGGATAGCAGACAGCGAGAGGAAAAGGGGCGACCGAGAGAGGGGACGCTCGCAGATTTTTGTTACACCTACCCCCGCGCGCGTTTCCCTGGGCTGGGGGGAAGGTGTCCGGGGACCGCGGAGAGTGGGCAGGACCCGCGGCACGGCACCTATACCAGGTCCCTACTGCTGCTCCCGGCCCCAGTCCCAGCGCGTGTCGGAGTGGACCTCAGCGTCCCAGGCGCTGTTTCCCCCGGGTACCCCAGGCGTCAGCTCCTTCTCACCTGCTGGCCTGTCGCCGGGGGCTGCCCCGGGCCGCCGTACGCACCGCTGGCCCCGGAGCTGGGTCCGGGTTCCCCGAAGTCTCGGAACATGCCCTGCGCTGGCTGATCTACGGGGTCAGCGTCGGCGGCTTGGATTCTGACTCACCCGCTCCTCGCGTAGTCTTTTCTTTTTATGAATGAAAAGGGCTGAACCACTTCAACTAGGGGGTGGGGGCGTGGCGCAGCGGCGCGGGTCTCCTCGCGGCTCCGCCTCTCCCGACGCGCCACCTTTTGCTGGTCCGCACCGAACTGTTCAACGCCTCCCGAGGCCCCGTGAGGCCTTTTCAACGGGAAAGTGGAGGATTTGGCGTCCCCTAGCCCCAGCGGCGGGTCCGCCCCCCTCTGACGTAGCTGCCCATACATGGTGCAATTTCCTCGCCGCGCCCAGGTGAAGCAGAGGATTCCCCGGCGGATTACTAGCACCTGAGAGCTGCCGGGAGCCGGCCCCGCCCGGCTCGGCCAGCCGGCGCAGTCCGAGTCGCGCCCCACTCCGGGACTTGCTCCGGCAGCCTTCTCACGGCCGGGTCCGGCCTCACCCGGGCAGGTTTCTTTATTTGTAAAATGGGACGAAATACTCATATAGCTACCCTACTGCGCGTAGGAGTTGGAATAAAGAATGTGAAAGGGTTTGAAAACTGTAAAGTGCATTATAAATGTGATTGATATTATTATTATTATTATATTATTATTATTATTATTATTATTAACTGGGTGCTTATTTCATGCCAGGAACGTACTACTACCACCCAAGGCTGCACATCGTGGCGTGGAGCCCTTCCACTGGTATTGTTTTAAGATTCGAGGATGGTAAAAAGTAACTAAATGACGAACCAGGGTTACAAAAATGCTTGTATATTTTAAACGCTTACAGTGAACAAGTTAATGTTTTGAATTACCCACAAGTCCAGTGCAAAAGAATTGTGCTACTCACAGGATAATTTCAGAACCTATAACGAGTTCTAATTCAGAGCCCCTCTAAGCAGCGAGAGCCTGCAGTGGGACACAGGTGTCCTGTGGCCTGAAAAACACCTTCTTTAAATATTGTCTGTGCTCTTCCACGGCTGTGTGGTCACCAGCCTTGTTTGAAGATTATGTCAAAGGTCTGTGTGACCGTGAGGCCAGGCTCAAATGTCAATAACCAAAGGCCAGCAACCCTGGAAGGTAGGTTTTACCTGGAAGGCAAAATCATCATCCCATTTTACAGACAGGAAAACTGAGGCTCGGAAGTGTTGAAATGAAGTGCGTAAGATCACTGAGAGAATGGCTGAAGCAGGCTGCCCGATCAGAACTGGGGCAGCTCCAAGCCCAGGCACCTTTTCACACCTGCAGAATGTCAGGGCTGAGGGGACCACCCCAAAGTTTCTTCTCAGCTTCCAAGGCCACGTGGCTTCAGCGAGCGAGTTGGGCTCTCCCACTTTCCTCTGGTACCTCTATGGAGCCCGCTCCAGTTTCGTCCTCAGGGGAGGAAGATTTCAGAGAGGTGGGAGCCTAGGTTGCCTTCCTTGGGGAGAGAGGGGGCAGGGAGGGGACTGTGGGTACACACAGGACTTAGAACCAGAAGGCCAACTTGGCCCTGGGCTTCCCGTCCCAGTGCTACCATTTTCTGTGTCTGTGACCCTGGGTGGTGGTGACCTTCCCTCTGAGTGCCAGTCCCTGTGGGAATAATTGAGCCTCCTGCTGACCTCATGGGGCTGCGGTGGGGTCAGATGAGGTCACAAATGTGAGAGTGCTCTGTAAGGTGTAAGTTGCCGCACGCCCAGAAGGTGGTTACCAGCCTGGTGCCGCTCCCTTGCCCCTGTCCTCAATGCTTATCTTTCTCTAAAAAGAAACCAACAGCAGTTTACCTCGAGCAATATAGGGGTGTATATGAGAGAGCGAGAGATTTTTTGAGGCAGTTTGACCCATGGAATAGCACATGCATGTTGGAATCAGACAACTCTGGGTTCTGAGTTTGAATTCTGCTCCTCGCCCACTATATGACCTTGAAGAGGCAGACCATCTCTCAACACCTCTGTTTGCTCATCTGTAAAGTGGAGACATAATGGCAATTACATCTCAGAATTGCTGGAGACTGGAAATAACATAATATCCCATGTGTAGCACGGCATGTAGTAAGAACTTGACAAATATCCAAAATAAACACACATGTTAATACAGAGCCCCAGGGCTGAGAGCCCTTGGGGGTCTGATCGTTTGGTGCAGGCACTCGTGCTGCGCACGCGCCCACACACAGGGACTGGTATCTGGACTCTTTGGCTAAGTCCAAGCTGGACAGGGTGACACAGGACCAGGTAGGGGCACACGCAAGGTCTGAGTCAGGTCAGCCTTGACTACCTCCATCTGCCTGCTCCCGAAACAACACCCTGCCTGCTCCCCGGACAGCCCGGGGACCGTGACTGAGCGGGGGCTCAGGTCTCCAGTGTGTGTGTGTGTGCGTGTGTGATTACATGGCTCTGAAAGTCCCTTCCTGCTCTAACCGTCGGTGGAGCCACAAGAAGGTCTTTCAGAAGCAGCACATTCCAAGCTCCTCAGTCACTGACTCCCGCCTCGTGGCTGCAGAGACGTTCCTGGCTCCTGACCTCACCGGCTCCCGGCCAGGCGAGGATCCCAGGGGGCGCTGATCGGGGCAGTTTGGGTGCCCGGAGGTCTGCGAGACCGGGCCCTGTCTCCCGGCAGCAGCCCCGTGAGCTGGGCTCAGTCACTGCCCCCGCCCCCCAGGAGCCCGGTCTCCTGGGGCTGCAGTGACGAAAAAGGAGGCGGTGGAGGCGTGTGGTTTGCATCCAACAGGTTCTGTCAGTGCCCCCAGGGCCTTGGAGGTGATGTTTGTTTTTTCAGTTTCCATTCACTTTTAAATCAAACTTTATTTATTTTTAAAACTGAGGGGCAAGCCACCCAACATACAATTAACCGTTTTAAAGCATACACTTCAATGGACTGCTGCGCATTCCCAGTGTTATGCAACCACCACTTCCATGCAGTCTCAAAACTGTTTTCGCCGTCCCAGGAAGACACCCCATACCCTCTAATTAATCACTCCCTCCTCCCACCTCCTCCCCATCCCCCGGTGGCCACGCGTCTGCTTTCCGTCTCTACCGCTTTGCCAGGTCTGGACGCTGCACAGCAGTGGGATCCTACAGGATGTGACCTTTCCCATCTGGTTTCCTCCACTTGGCCTGTGCTTTCCAGCTTCATCCATATTGTAACTGGTACCCCATCCTTTTTATGGCTGAATAATATTCTATTGTATGGCTACACTACAACTCATTTATTCATAAGTTTATTCATTTATTTTTTTAAGATTTTATTCATTTATTTTTAGAGAGGGAAGGGAGGGAGAAAGAGAGAGAGAGAGAAACATCAGTGTGTGGTTGCTGGGGGCTATGGCCTGCAACCCAGGCATGTACCCTGACTGGGAATCGAACCTGCGACACTTTGGTTTGCAGCCCGCGCTCAATCCACTGAGCTACGCCAGCCAGGTATTCATTTATTTTTAATTTTATCGTTGTTCAAGTACAGTGTTCTGCCTTTCCCCCTGCCTCTCCGCCACCCCCCAGCCATCCCCACCTCCCTTATTTATTCGTAAGTTGATGGACATTTGGCTATTAGGAGTGATGCTCCATGGGTATTTGCGTCCAGGTTTTCGTGTGGACACATGTGTCCATTTACCTTGGGTCATCCAGAAACTCCGTTTAACCTCGCGAGGAACTGGCAGACCGTTTTACAAAGCGGTTGTGCCATTTCACGTTTTTACCAGTGTGCGTGAAACTCCCAATTTCTCCACATTCTTGCCGACACTTGTTATTTTCCATTTGCAAAATGAAAGACGTCCTAGAGGGTGGGAAGTGGTATTTCACTGTATCTGATTTGCATTTCCTTAAACCAGCCGTGTCCCTTAGTGAGCAACAAATACCTTTTTTTGTGCTTGTTGGGCATTTATATGTATTTTTTTGGACAAGTGTCTATTCTAGTCCTTTGTCCGTTTTTTATTGGATTGTTTGATTTTGTTGTTGTTGTTGTTGAATCTTTTGAGTTTTTAAAATATATTCTGGCTACCCAACCCTTATCAGATATTTGAACATTTACCCCTATTTTTTCTTCTGTTGATTGCATAATTTTGGTTTTTATATTTAGGTTGTTGACTAAATTGAAGTTTAACATACAGATAACCCTGTGGGGTAGCCCTGGCCAGGCAGCACAGTTGGTTAGAGCATCATCCCAATAAGTCAAGGTCGTGGGTTCAATCCCCAGTCAGGGCACATATAAGAATCAACCAATGGGTGCATAAATAAGTGGAACAAATAGATCTCTCTCTCTCTCTCTCTCCCCCTTCCTCTCTCTCTAAATTAATCAATTTAAAAATATCATACATACCCCTGGCTGGTGTGGCTCAGTGGATTGAGTGCCAGCTGGCGAACCAAAGAGTGGCGAACCAAAGGGTCACTGGTTCGATTCCCAGTCAGGGCACATGTCTGAATTGAGGGCCAGGTCCCCAATTTGGGGGCATGAGAGGCAACCACACATTGATGTTTCTCTCCCTCTCTTTCTCCCTCCCTTCCCCTCTCTCTAAAGTAAATAAATAAAATTTAAAAAATATATATCATACAGTAAAGTGCCCTCATCCAGCATGTTCAGCTAGGTGATTTGTACATGTATGTAAACCCATGTAGTTACCTCCCTGCCAAGATATAGGACGTTCCCAGGAGCTCAGAGGGTCCTCACGCCCCCTCCCACCTCCAGGCCTCACCCATGGGTAACCCCTACTCTGACTTCCATCATCACAGATTAGTTTTGCCTGTTCTTGAACCTCACAGAAATGGAATCATACCACATGTGCTCTGTTAGGTTCGGCTTCTTTTACTTGACCTGTCTGCGGGGACTCGTCTGCATCCCCGGGCAAAGCTGTCGCTAGGTTTTCCCAGCCGTTTTCCCAGTGGCCGTGCGGCAGTCCACTGCGAGACCAGGCTGCAGACGCCCCCACCACCCCCCTGGTGGCGGTTTGGAGGGCTCTTCCGGCCTGGGGCTGCAACGGATCAGGCCGCTGTGAGCATTCTCCGTCCGTCTGTCCCCAGGCGGCCCACTGCCCTGGTTTCTCTTGGACACGTGCCCAGAGGTGGAACCGCTGGGCTATAGGGTACACGATTGCCCTTCGTTCTCTCCAGCAGGTCCTCAGAGGGGCTGTGCTGTTCCCCACCCCACCAGCAGCGGGTAAGGTCTCTTCCGGCCACCCCACACCTGGAGGTGGCATTTCAG